ACGCCGAAGACCCGGGTTCGATTTCTGACATGGGTACAATGTGTGAAGCCCATTTCTGGTGTCCCCAGCCGTGATATTGCTGGAATATTGCTAAAAGCGGCATAAAACCATACACACTCACTCACTCACTCTTTTCGCCGAAGGCCCAAGTCTGTTCCATCACTTGTACAGTTTGTGAAGCTCATACCTGGTATCCATAAAGCAGTGTAAAACTAGGCTTGCTCACTCACTCAATCCCAATGGATTTCAAACACTACCTACAGCTATTACAGGGCTTGTTACCAAATAGATATGTTGAATGTTTTAATCTTCTCACAGTAATATAATTCACCATGACCCTTTCTTTTGCATATCAGGTCATTACATTTGTCTTATCTTTATCCCTTTTAAATAAAGCAAGACCGCCTCTGTGGTCTAGTGGAAGAGCGTCCGCCTGGAGAGCGAAAGGTCCGGGGTTTGATCTCAGGCCACGTCATACCAAACGATGTTAAAAGATGGTACTTGTTGTTACCCTGTCTGGCTCTCGGCATTAAGGGGCTACAACAAGGACTGCTTGGCTCACTTTAAATAAAACATATCTTAAAGAGATTGTTCTTTTGAAAGTGACCAAATATGTTGAAGATTTAGTTGACAATTGTTAGTGAATTATTAATATACATGTATCTTTGTGGGCTTAACTTTTTATTAAAAATTAAATTATAGCATAAAATGTCTTCAAAGGAACATTGAAATAAACAGTCTTAAAATAAACTCCATTTTTAAGCATGTATCCTTAAAGCAAGATGTATTTTCAATAGCTTAAGATTGTACACTGTGGAGCAGCAGAAGCTTTTATGGTAGTAACAGCGTAACATCGTCTCTGCTATAAACACACAGCCTTCAGATCCCAGCAGTGACGAGGCCCATCTTCTTTCAACATCCATGCCTACCACTCAATCACACACAGAACAAATTTTGTATAAACCCCTCTCCGCTGACAAGACCTTTCCACAACTTTACTGTTCAAAGCAAAATCAATACACTCTGCAGTTATTAAAAATCTTAGCTTTTAAGAAGCTTGCTTTAATTAGATTATTTTTTTAGGGCTTACGATATGGCAAACTTTTTCAAAGTTAGGATTCTCATTATTAAATTTCATCAGTTGTCATGTTAACAGGGAAACATACATGGGATAAGCAAGCATCAACAGGGAAATATACATGGGTGCAGCATGCATTGACAGGGAAATATACATGGGAGCAGCATGCATTGACAGGGAAATATACATGGGAGCAGCATGCATTGACAGGGAAATATACATGGGAGCAGCATGCATTGACAGGGAAATATACATGGGTGCAGCATGCATTGACAGGGAAATATACATGGGTGCAGCATGCATTGACAGGGAAATATACATGGGAGCAGCATGCATTGACAGGGAAATATACATGGGAGCAGCATGCATTGACAGGGAAATATACATGGGAGCAGCATGCATTGACAGGGAAATATACATGGGTGCAGCATGCATTGACAGGGAAATATACATGGGAGCAGCATGCATTGACAGGGAAATATACATGGGAGCAGCATGCATTGACAGGGAAATATACATGGGAGCAGCATGCATTGACAGGGAAATATACATGGGTGCAGCATGCATTGACAGGGAAATATACATGGGAGCAGCATGCATTGACAGGGAAATATACATGGGAGCAGCATGCATTGCGGGGGAAATATACATGGGTGCAGCATGCATTAACAGGGAAATATACATGGGAGCAGCATGCATTGACAGGGAAATATACATGGGAGCAGCTTGCATTGACAGGGAAATACATGGGAGCAGCATGCATTGACAGGGAAATATACATGGGAGCAGCATGCATTGACAGGGAAATATACATGGGTGCAGCATGCATTGACAGGGAAATATACATGGGAGCAGCATGCATTGACAGGGAAATATACATGGGAGCAGCTTGCATTGACAGGGAAATACATGGGAGCAGCATGCATTGACAGGGAAATATACATGGGTGCAGCATGCATTGACAGGGAAATATACATGGGAGTAACATGAATAAGGAAATATACATGGGAGTAACATGAACAGAGAAATATACATGGGTGCAGCATGCATTGACAGGGAAATATACATGGGAGCAGCATGCATTGACAGGGAAATATACATGGGAGCAGCATGCATTGACAGGGAAATATACATGGGAGCAGCATGCATTGCGGGGGAAATATACATGGGTGCAGCATGCATTAACAGGGAAATATACATGGGAGCAGCATGCATTGACAGGGAAATATACATGGGAGCAGCTTGCATTGACAGGGAAATACATGGGAGCAGCATGCATTGACAGGGAAATATACATGGGAGCAGCATGCATTGACAGGGAAATATACATGGGTGCAGCATGCATTGACAGGGAAATATACATGGGAGCAGCATGCATTGACAGGGAAATATACATGGGAGCAGCATGCATTGACAGGGAAATACATGGGAGCAGCATGCATCAACAGGGAAATACATGGGAGTAACATGAATAAGGAAATATACATGGGAGTAACATGAATAAGGAAATATACATGGGAGCAACATGAACAGAGAAATATACATGGGAGTAACATGAACAGGGAAATATACATGGGAGTAACATGAACAGGGAAATATACATGGGAATACATGCATTAACAGGGAAATATACATGGGAGCAGCATGAACAGGGGAATATACATGGGAGTAACATGAATAAGGAAATATACATGGGAGTAACATGAACAGAGAAATATACATGGGAATACATGCATTAACAGGGAAATATACATGGGAGCAGCATGAACAGGGGAATATACATGGGAGTAACATGAACAGGGGAATATACATGGGAGTAACATGAACAGGGAAATATACATGGGAGCAGCATGAACAGGGGAATATACATGGGAGTAACATGAATAAGGAAGTATACATGGGAGTAACATGAATAATGAAGTATACATGGGAGTAACATGAACAGGGGAATATACATGGGAGTAACATGAATAAGGAAGTATACATGGGAGTAACATGAACAGGGAAATATACATGGGAGTAACATGAATAAGGAAATATACATGGGAATACATGCATTAACAGGGAAATATACATGGGAGCAACATGAACAGGGGAATATACATGGGAGTAACATGAACAGGGAAATATACATGGGAGTAACATGAATAAGGAAGTATACATGGGAGTAACATGAACAGGGAAATATACATGGGAGTAACATGAATAAGGAAATATACATGGGAATACATGCATTAACAGGGAAATATACATAGGAGTAAGATTTATCAAGAGGGAAATAAACATGGGAGTCACATTTATCAAGAGGGAAAAATGCATGGGAGTAACATTTATCAAGAGGGAAAAATGCATGGGAGTAACATTTATCAAGAGGGAAAAATGCATGGGAGTAACATTTATCAAAAGGGAAATAATCATAGGAGTAGCATTTATTAATGGTGAAATACACATAGAAGTAACAAATTTTTACAGCAAAATATACATGAAATTATTCAATACTATTGGAATTATTCAATACTATTGGAAAATAAATATAACAAGATGGGACATGAAATAAATATGTATGAGGGATGTGTTTTCTGGTTCAGCATCCATCAGTCAATCTCACAAGAAACAATTGCCCATTATATTAATCAATATTTGCTGATGGTGTGTCAGGGCTCTGTTACAACATGTTCCTTGCAGCTAGCGTGTCAGCAGGCATTACCGATTCCACCGACATTCCCACTCGCACCCAGTCCTGTGTTGGCGGATTCAGAACATTAGTGACTTGCCATATGAATTCTCACATGAAAATGAAACTATTCTTTCAGCTTGACAGAAGGTTAGCAAGATTCATCAACTTAACCGAAAATACATCATAACCATTTCTCCACTTCAGCTTTGACTTATTTCTTGGTTGTTTTTCTTGGTGAAGGGCACTGTATTACCGATGTTTGGGGTCTTTTGGGAAAGCTCATTATAATGATGAAAGAGAGGGTAAAGACAAAACGTGAGCCATCATTCAAACACTCCATCCACTCCTTAATAACATCATTATTCCAATCTGATTTTGAAGGAGATCACAGGGGCTCTGTGATTATATGTTTGGTTAATCATGGTATGTAAGCACATTTAGCACATGATGTCTTGTTTCTTCTCAATTGATGGTCGGTACCAACCTCTCACGTATTGTGTACTTTGTTTGTGATCATGAATATTTGGGGGGTTATTTTTTTGTAGTGAATACTGAGGAAACAATTCTATAAAAAACTTTCTTTGGTCAGTGTATATAACTTTCTGTGCATCCTTGCAAGCTACGTTTCTTCACAGTTACGATCCAGGTTTTGTCTGCACTATACCCATGATTGGATTCACCAGTCTGGTGGTCGTCTTTGAGCTGCATCACTTTGTTTCCCCCTACACTAACCTGCTGTGATCTGATGGAAATAATCTGTTAATGCTGCATGAAACTACTCTACTACATCCTTGATTATCAAGTGTGTTCCATCTCTATTCTACCATGCCTGGCCGGGTCATACCAAAAGATGTTAAAAGATTGTACTTGTCTGGTGCTCTGCATTAAGGGAAAAAACAAGGACTGGTCGGTTTGGGGGCAGTATCATATATCTGAAAAACAACACACAGACACGCTCTCGCACACACTAAAATGTGAAATCTCACGCAAGTCTCTATGGAAGTGCAATAATCTTGAAAACGATGTTAAACCCTGTCTCACCTCACCTATGCTATTTGAAAAACACAGAAGTATTGTTATGACAATGATTGGATATGTCCATAATCGTCCTTCTGTGAGGGTTTCACTGGTACAGAATATCACTTTACATGACATTTCTTGTAACATTCTCATATATAATGATGCTCCTGATATGCCAATCATGCTCTACTGTAAGTTAACCATTTTCCTTTTTCTCTGTTTCAGATTATAGGTTTATTAAATGCTTTCACACCACAGAAATCTTTAGAAGAATTTCAAGATGTGTAAGTATATATTGTTTCTTGAATTCCTTGAATGTTTCTGTTCCTTGGATGTTATTGTCTTCAGATGCAATATTCATTTCCTCAGCTAGGCTGAGGATATAGGAAAAAGTCTTAGTTTAAAGCGCTGATGATATATGTGGAGAGCCCTTGCATGACAGCATATTATTTCTGCTTTAAGACAAGAAACGAAAAAGTTTGTCACCTTGTAATACATCATTTTTACATGAATATGTAACCACAACAATTTAAGAAGTCAATTCTTCAGAATTGATTTCCATTATTATTTTCAGCCGTAAGTACTTTTGTGGTGTTAAAATATATAAACGTCAACTTTGAAGAAAGTGCTCTTGGGACATTGATGAAGTATGTTACCACATTCTGGGAGTAATTTTGATGTTTGGAATCACATTATTGGAATATATTATTTGTGAGACCATTACTTTGTTTCATTTCAATTCATAAGCATTAAGGGACTCATTCCTTCTAGTGATCGACCCGTGAAGATTCCGGGGTAGAATAGGTCTTCAGCAACCCATGCTTGCCGTAAAAGGTGACTAAGTTTGTCGTAAAAGGCGATTAACGGGATCGGGTGGTCAGGCTAGCTGACTTGGTTGATGCATGTCATCAATCCCAATTGCGTGGATCGATGCTCATGATGTCAATCACTGGATTGTCTGGTCCAGATTCAATTATTTACAGACCGCCGTCATATAGCTGGAATATTGCTGAGTGTGGCGTTAAACAACAAACCAACCAACCAACCTTCTAGTGATCACAGCTTTTGTCTGTAGCAGTTTCACACAGCCCTTCTTTGTTTGGTTGCAATCCTTGGCCATCTTTGAATATCCAGTATCAGTTGTCTTGTCATAGTAACAACTCATGTAATGTTGGTGACTGCATGTGAAAAGTCAGCGTCCCTTATATACGGGTGGCAGTTTGAGTATGCATATAGGTCAATTCAAAAGTTTAGAATTAACACTGACGCAGCAAAAGGACCTACAACCCTTTTGTTTGGGGTCTTTGTTTGTTGTTTAACATTGCATTCAGTAATATCTTGGCTATCTCACCAAAGTGGTAAATGTCTGTCACATGCATCACTTCGGGCTTCCTCCCACAGTAACCTGACACGACATGATGTAACTGGAATACTGTTCAAAGAGATGTTAAACCCAACTCACTCACTCACTCACTCACTCACTCACTGGAATACTGTTCAAAGAGATGTTAAAACCAACTCGCTCACTCAATCACTGGAATACTGTTGAAAGATGTTTAACCAACTCGTTCACTCATTCTCACTCACTGGAATACTGTTCAAAAAGATGTTTAACCCAACTCACTCACTCACTCACTCACTCAGTGAAAATGTACCAAATCTACAGGGTAGGTTTAAAAATAAGTTGAGTGAAAAAGACGTCATATTGACATACTCAAAACCTGTGCTGCACAACCTGTTCAGGATTCAGTTGACAAAAAATCTCTTTGAGGATGTGAATAGGAGCTGGGTTTTTTTATACTGTTTTTCTGTCTCGTTTCATTTTATTTATGTTTTCATTTTGGTTGGGGTATGGGGAGGTCATGTCACTAAACTTAGGAATTGACCTTTTTTATCCTCAATTGAACTTTTGAACTTCAACATCAACGCTGGAAAATCCTGCATCTCTGAGCAATGTTGTTTTTTGTGATTGGCCTACTGTATAAGTTTCAAGCGCACCAAAACAGAGTTCTTTGAAAATGATTTAAGTAAAACTTTTAATGGATTCTTAATCATCAGCTTTTCAAGGCTCTTTTCTGAGACATGTTTCATGTATTGCTGGTTAGCACCATGACATGGGCATTAAAACAGAGTTAATCGGGGAAAGAAAATACTAAGTTGACATTTACATGTGAATAACAGGTAACTATGTGAAGTTATCCTGTTAGACACTTGTGTTTGGTTAATTGCAGTTGTCTGCACATAGAGAATAGAGTAGGATTTAGCCGACTACATATACCTCCGTTTCACAAAGTCATCTGAGTTGCCCACCTTTTGTATTCTTTTGGTGTGGGTAGGTAAGAGGCATTTATATATGGCTGACATTTAATATTTTTTAAATTATTCCTGAAAGTACTGCAAAAATAACATTATTGCCTCAGATTTAAGAAAGAAGAAAATATTGTTTGCCAGATGCCATTTAAAATAATTGTGATGTAAAAGAATAAAATTGTTTGGCTGCTTCTTTCAGGAAAAAACATGTTTTGAAGCAGTGACCGAAAAAATAACAACTCTCTAAAAACACTCCCAGGCACTTCAACAGTCATAACTACTACACGTAACCATGACAAAGAGCTTGTGTTGACATGTACCAATTTTCTAGCAGGGCTTGTGAAAATGAAATATGATTTAGGATTTCAAAAACACCAGGTCAGTTGCTGGAATCTTGATAACATTCACATAACAAAAACCCTGCCATATAAATTCTTTGCCCCAAACACTTTCACTATATTGAGGATATCAGATCATTTCTCAATACACCAGAGACAATTATTACATGTCAACACTGTTCATGCATCCTTCATTCCTTCAGGAAGGCTTTTACTGATAGTTCTTAATCTAAGGAAAATATGAAGAGACATTTTTCTTGTGACAAGACTGAAGACAATCAGTTGACTCGCTATGCATGCAGGTGCTTGAAATTGCTTGTCTCAGGAAATCAGTCGTCGGGGAGCAAGTGAATAATAATTCTTTAGCATGATTCCACTCATCAAACACGTAATCGTCTCCAGAAGACCTTTCCTGTCTGAAGACATTTTCCTGTTTAATAGGTTTTGAGTTAAGTCAGACATTGTATGGAACACTGCCTCGTTCAGGGCATCTTTCTTCTGGTTTTCTTGCGTTTGAGATATGGCACAAAGTGTTTTGAAGATTGAAGCAATTCTATGATGACAAACGAAATATTTCCCAATGTCATTACATGGAGTTTTCATGTATGTTTTTAAGGCATCTGTTTAATAGGAAATGTAGCTTTGTGTTGTTCATAGCCATTATCAGTGATTATAGGTTTTTTGTCAGTATACAGTGATGGACTTTGTAATGCTTTCATTATCTTACACTAGGTTCTTCTTGTATCGTGATGGAAGAATGACATAGATTCTTTGTCAGTGAAATCTGAAATTAATGGATTTTGATAAAGTTAGATAGGATAGCGATGGCACAGATTGAAATGGAATCCTCCAGAGATTGAGATTGAATGTTGATATGGTATACGTTTTGCAAAGGTCTATCTGACATGGGTTGTGTTTTATGAGTTCTGGAAAGAAATGATGTTGTCATGAGAGCCCCATTAGAAGAGTTATGGCAAGTGGCACTTGATGCTTGAACCTATTTCTCCAGAGGTATTCATTGCTTGTGATTATTCTTCCCACCACTTTCGCTCGTCATGCCCGGGTTCGATTCCCGACATGGCTACAACGTGCGAAGCCCATTTCTGGTGTCCCCCGCTGTGATATTGCAGGAATATTGCTAAAAGCAGCTCAAAACCGTACTCACTCACTCCTCCTACCACTCTTTGTCAAAGTGATGCAGTGTTTATGCTATTGGCTGCATTTTCTTTAAGGAGACCATTAAGACACAGCATAAATACATTTTTAGAAATAAAACCATTAAACATTATTCATCTTTTCTATTGTGACATTTTCTGTCACATTTATCCTTGCTTGGGGGTTTCTGAAGTGAAGTAAACATCTCAGACATTTTTCACTTCCCACGCCATGATATGACTGGGATACTTGTTCAAAGTGGCGTAAACCCAGCTCTCTCACTCACTCTTCCCTTCCCACTTTTCCTCCCATATGATGTATTACTATGATGTACTTTTCAAAGCAGCATTGTACCTTGAATTGGGAAAGTACTTGATTCTTATTGGTCAACTAGAGGTATCAAATCACAACAACCACCTCTGATTGAAACAGCTGATTTGATGGCCGCTGTAGAAACTAATATTTATAGAAAAGTGTTTGTTTTTCAGCCGGTGTTGGTAGGCATTATTAAATAATTGTATGTACAATGTTGGAGATAAACCTGCTATGATTAATGTTAGACCGATTCATGTCAGAACGAATTGATAGTCACTAAGATTCATTTGAAACTTAATGTATACGTGTCATGGTAGAATAGAGATAAACATTCTGTGATTTCAATGTGAAGCCAGTTTCCCTGTAGACTTGGCCACACTCAACATAGCATTTGAAACCTCACGCTGCATGTTTAAGTTCCAGATTCAATTTTGTCAGGGTTAGATCTACAGGTTACTTAGCTCTGCATTGAAAACACAGTATGTTTTTCTCCTAATTAAACCCAACTCACTCACTCATTCTTCTCTGAAGGTAGGTGTAGCAGATATCACTTTGTGACTGTCTTACGGAACAAAGAATAGTTACACATTAGAAGTCCTCAGGGATGGCTCAATGAATATAATGAACATAAAGTCCTCTTCAGTTCAAATTCACGCTGCCAGTGTGAGGACATTGCCAAGGGTCTCTCGGCTGCCATGGCGCTCCCATCAGCTGCTGATACAGAGGTATTAGATTATACACACATGGACTGATGTCATTTTCTCTGGAGCAGGCCCTTATTTGACAATCTATAAGAGATGGATTCTTGTGTTAGCTTAAGCTGGAGGATATTAAGAGGATAATTGTTGTCGATAGCAAGGGGAGCCTAGTGTTGGATTATCGGAGCTTTTCCTAAACTCACTCACTTCCCATTTCCCATGATTAACCAACGAATAGGGAGAACTTACAAGTTGGTGATCGACCAGAAGCAGGGAGTTCATTGAGGAAAGTATTTTTTTCTGTTGCAGTAGTTTTATTTCCATTTTGACGTTCAATCCTGGCTGAGTGTACAACGAATTCAGCTCCATTATGTTCTGTTTGAAAAACTCATAATTTGTAACCAAGAGCATTTTTAATCTTTTTCAGATGTTTTAGAAACAGTAATGGATTTTGCTCTTTTGGTGGCT